ACCAAGCCCTCCTCAGTTAGCCTGGGTGCCAGACTGTTTCCAGGGTCTACATAGGCCAGGTCCTCGACTCTAGGGCCAACATGCTCCCAAGGAAATTATACCACAGCCCCCCACCCTGGCTAACTCTGGGCCTAGCGTGTTATGGGTCTGGCATCCAGGCTACCGGACCCTATCTAGATTCTTCCAGGTTCAATTCTAACTCACTTTGTGAGATCGTATGGCGTAGCGACAGAGTGCTCGACTCGGAACCAAGAGGTCCCGGCTTCGAGCCCTGACATGCCACCGATCTTGTGCCCTTGGGAAAGGCACTTTACACGACTTTCCTCACTTAACTCAAGTGAAAATGAGTATTGTCCTGTTCCGTATTTGTCCTCTATCTGCGTTCGTGACGGCATAAAATAAGTTGATATAACTTGAGTATGCCGTCACCATGTGATGTCTAGTCATGAAATGTTGGAATAAAAAAAAAAAATCCTAACTCCCCTTTTTCATATCCTCTGACATGTAGCGTAATAGAGAACGTCAATTCAGTGATGGTCCCGGCAACTCGACCCGTTCGCACATTTGTCTGCCTGCCAGTATTACTTACGATGTTCGTCTGTCTTCATTAGCCCCCAGTGTCATTCCATAAAGCCTTGGCTAACGGGCTTATTGAGGGGCCAGTAAACCACGTACTGCGGTACTCATTTGTCACGATCGGGCGGGGGGCCTTGCACATTGTCTGCGTGTGGGGTGTCTCTCAACTAAATGGAAACAACCTGCCAGTTAGTTAGACCTTAAAGGGGCAATATGTAACATTTTTGTACCACCAAAATCGAAATGTTTTACTGCGGTACTCATTTGTGACGATCGGGCGCTTACTGTTGGGGGCTTGCCGCATATAGTCTGCGTGCGGGGTGTCTCTCAACTAAATGGAAACAACCTGCTAGCTAGACCTTAAAGGGGCATTATGTAACATTTTTGTACCACCAAAAATTGAAATGTACGTTTTTGTCACTTTTTGTACTGCGGTACTTATTTGTCACGATCGGTAGCCTATTGTCGGGGGCCTTGCACAAAGTTTGCGTGTGGGATGTCTCTCAAGAAAATGGAAATAACCTGCTAGTTAGACCTTAAAGGGGCATTATGTAATATTTTTGTACCACCAAAAATTGAAATGTTTTGTACTGCGGTACTCATTTGTCACGATCGGTAGCTTATTATCGGGGGGCTTGCCGCATAGTCTGCGTGTGGGGTGTCTCTCAAGAAAATAGAAACAACCTGCCAGTTAGTTAGACCTTAAAGGGGCATTATGTAACATTTTTGCACCACCAAAAATTGAAATGTTTTGTACTGCGGTACTCATTTGTGACGATCGGTCGCTTACTGTTGGGCGCTTGCCGCATATAGTCTGCGTGCGGGGTGTCTCTCAACTAAATGGAAACAACCTGCTAGCTAGACCTTAAAGGGGCATTATGTAACATTTTTGTACCACCAAAAATTGAAATGTACGTTCTTGTTACTTTTTGTACTGCGGTACTTATTTGTCACGATCGGTAGCCTATTATCGGGGGGCTTGCCGCATAGTCTGCGTGCGGGGTGTCTCTCAAGAAAATGGAAATAACCTGCTAGTTAGACCTTAAAGGGGCATTATGTAACATTTTTGTACCACAAAAAATTGACATGTTTTATTTAAAAATAAATATATACGTGTGATTGTAATTTACTTTTCAACATGTTTGTGAAATTTTTGTACATTTCTGACACTTGTGGTCGTTTCTAAACCAGCCCACACGAAACGTTCTCAGTTTGTGGTGCCACCACAAACTGAAAGAATGTTAACAAAACATGACCGATAGCTGTGTTTCCAGCATTTACACAACTTGTAAGGCGTCAGATTTTGGCACATACACTTTCCGAATGGCAGTTATTTGCATGGTTGGTTGATTCAACTTACTTATATATAAAGAAATCTAATATCTAATTCTATCTAATTAGATTAGATCTATCTAATCTAATTCATAAAGATTTCTAGTTCTTATCTCAACTGAATATAAATTCACACGATTTTTTTCTATTGTGTGGTCATTATGCTGAGGTCACATTTCCAAACCGGGGCCCGGTCGGGCTGTTTCGATTAACGAAAAATCAACACTTTACTTTTCCATCAATGATATACGCAAATAGTTCCCATTATTAATTTTTCAACTTTTTTGTGCTTTCTTGTCTTTTATGTCATACTTGTCGTTCCATAAGACTGCCCGGCCGGGCGCCGGTGCTTGTCATGATATAAGTGAATATCTTCATTTAATAAGTGCCTATCTTCTTTTAATAAGTGGCTTGTATGTGCGGTCTGTTATGGCTTAGTGCACCAGCCAAGAATGTAAAATCCAGCTGAAGTAGTCTTACTTTGAACGGTTTTATACTTCATAACGTATTACTGGTCACGATTTCTGGCATATGTCCCAGGTATGGGTGTTATACACAATCACCTTGTTAAACCACGTGAAATACCATTCATAATTCCCCGTTTGAGCATATTTGATATTCCCCTAACGTGTATTTTACTAATAGTGCAATTATAAGTTAGGCTATGTTGATTTGATTTTATGGATGACAGCCTCTGGGAAACCCCAAACTGATGCGAGAGTAAAAATGAACAAAAAAAAGTTTGGAAAAAAAGTTGCCATCATTATGTATCAAATCTACGTGGTCATGAAGGTTGAACAAATGACTGAACACACAGAGTATGGTATGGAATTTCTTTGGAATTAATTTCATTCTACGACATAAGTATCGTTCACCAATTTTGTTTTGCAATTTACGGCAAATATTTGCTCACTTTGAAGCTGCTTTTTACGATTTACAGTATGGTCAATAACTTTTTTTGAAAATTAATGCGCGCGCGTGGCCTATATAGCGTGTATTATTTTACCAATAGTGTAATTATAAGTTGAAGATTAATCTGAGTGTGCGCCAGCCCTCTATTCGCATCCCCACATGCATGCAGTAAAACAAATTACACACACTTGTGCAGTGGATCGAGTGACACAGAAACGGGATCAAGTAGTCACAACATTGCAAATAATTCTTTTTATAGTTTAAGGCCTTTGACTTATACTTTTATTTTTGTACTGCCGTTCAGGTGGAGGTTGCCAAGTTTTCCATCTACAAGATAATTCAAACCATTTGGATCTGCTCTGTGTTTGGAAAGGTTGACGGTTGACGAGACCCATAACCTAAACAATCTTGACGTTTTTCTTGTATGACAAATGTTCCACCCAGCGGGGGGACTCAGCAATGACGTTTGATGTCTCCATAGGTTTCCCCCCAAGAGGTGCAGGTCTAAGTTTCACCCTGAACCTACGATGGGAAAAGCACGCAGATTGTCTTACCATTCTGTTTATAAACAGCGGTAGTTTCTGACTTATGTTTGGACAAACAGACGATGGAGCTGTTATGAAGGATCAGATCACCAAACACATGTTTGTTCCCAACTCTTTTGTAATATCTGAAACGACCAAAATGAACGTACACTGTGGGATCATATATATACGCCAACATGCATTTGACTGGAGTCGTGTGGCGTAACAGCAGAGGGTTCGGCTCAGAATCAAGAGGTCCTGGGTTCGAATCCTGCAATGTCGCCGATCTTGTGCACATGGGAATGCCACTTTACACGACTTTTCTCACTTCACTCAGGTGAAAATGAGTACCTATCTTCGGTTAGGGACGTCCCTAAATGGAGGTCAAGTGTTTGGAAAGTGACACGTGTACACCCCACGCACGTTAAAGATCCCACCCGATACTTATTAAAAAGACTAGGGGTCCTTCCCGGTGTGAGTGGTTCAAACCTAACAGTCCTCTGGCCGCACCTGGTGTCATATTGAGGTCACCTGAGTTAGCACCGAATGACAGCCGCTCCAGACCCTTGTGATTCAGTCCCACCAATAAATATAAGCTCCTCACAATTCAGCCCTTGGCTGCAATGAGCTATAGAGAGTAGATCTAGTCGGCCCACCAAATAACCAATAACATCTTGTCCCTTGTGTAATACAACATATGTGTGGGATACATGTCTATCGATTTTTTGAGGACACTAAGTTCAAGGACTTGTAAGGACTTAAATCATGTTATCTGTATCTTGTTACAATTTGTCTGATCTGAACCAGACCTCTTCCCTCATGACATCAACGAAAAGCGGCCTGTAGGCCGTTTTGAATATTTCCTGAATAAACAAAGGCTCAAGCAAACAAACAAACACTGAACAAACAAACACAGACACAGAGAGAAGTAGAAGAGCGGTAAGATGTTTGGAACCGCAGCTGTAGCAATTTTTGTAGTTATCGTTTTCATGTTTGGAATTCTTATCTCTGTTAAATGGTATTTGAATTTGCTTTGCTATTATCATGGTTATATGAGAATCTTTTGTTATCAACATAAGTAGGAGTCTATGGATTTCAGAATATCTAATATTATCATTATTATCATATTTTTAATTTGTATCACTATTACCGTTACTGGTCGCCTTATTGTTTATGGTTGGGTGTTTTGCTCTCCGTCATTTTTCTTTGAAATATAAAAATAAGTAGGCCCAAAATCTAATCATTTTTAAGAGACCTACCACCTACTAAAAGATTCATGACAATTCAACCATATAGCTTCTTGAGTTATCGTGCTAGGCCACACACACAGAAGCCCTACCGAAACTTTAGGTATCCATCTTGGTGTAGCCTGTGTGCCAGACTATTACAAGGAGTAATATACAGGCTAGCTCCTCAGCTCCGAAAATTTTACCATAGACACCCCAGAGATAGACTCTGAGCATCCCGTCTCGAGAGATAAATCAGACCCTCAGGAACTATAATTCTGGGCCCGGGGCTTGTGGCTTTCCTCAGCCGAAGGAAGTATTGTGTAGCCTGGATAACAAACCTATTATAGCTCCCGAGTCCTACATCCTCTCCGCAAATAGCTAGGACCGGGATCTAGCATCTAGGTAGAAAAAAGATTTTAGTACTGACCTGCATGAAGTAGTTGACGAACTTGCACATGAAGAGTCCGTAGTTCCAGCTGGTGGTGGTGAAGCCGGCGGCGGTGAAGGGCACACAGCACAGCAGGAACGACACGTCCGTCACCGCCAAGTTCACGATGTAGTAGTTCGTCACCGACTTCATCTGGTCGTACTTCCACACCACGTAGATAACCAGCAGGTTCCCCATCAACCCCACCACGCAGATCAGACCGAAGACTATCGGGCCTGCGATGGCCTCAGCCCCGAGGGGAGAGCCTCCGGCGTCCGGTAGGGATCGAACCTCGCTACTCTCGTCTTCCCGGACGGTGAAATTCTCCCACGTCGTGTTGTTGGCCATGGTGAGACCTGGCAACTCTTCCCGCACTGGATAGAAAACAGAATTCGCTTTTAAACTAGCGGTATATCATCGATCAAGTCGTCGTAGCGTTAGCAGTCATCTAAATAGAGGGAAAATTTCGAGAGGTTTTCCAGCTGTATGGGCGGAGAGATTGTGTGTGTACAGTTTTTTGACAGGTAGGACCAGAAGCGAGGTCTTCATTCAGGAAAACCTCGCGAGGAAGTGGCGAGAGCTGGGGCAATCGTAGATATCATCCACCTACAGTCACGTGACATCCTGACACAACCAGCGCTGAGCGTTACCGTCTCTTCAACGGTCGTTGGCATTTGAAACGGTCGATGCCATATCGCTGATTGGTCGATATCCGAGTGTGTCAGAACGTTTTTTGAGGGGCAAAAATGTATAAAAAGGAACATTTCCATTGTAAATGTAAATGTACGGCAAAATCGTGTAAAAATAGTAAAGAAATTAGTAAAAAAATATAAAACACAAGCTCGGATTCGAACCCGGGTCAAAAAGGCTACATACTAAAATAATAATCAGATTCTAATCTTCCACGCCACGAAACATCACAGTTGTGTTGACGGAGCGTTTCAATAGTTCTAGTTTGAAGATTGCCGTTCTGCGAAATGGTATCGACCGTTTCAAATGGCAACGACCGTACACAAGATGGAATTTAGCGCTTGAGCAATCTCGTAGTTACCGAGATCTTCCCACAGATGTTCAGCGGACATATCTCTTTGTAGTTCTGGGCATCCAATGCAAAAATTCTGGGTGGCAAAACTTCGATTTTCAAAGTCAATTTTCTGGTCATTCTTTCGATGTAGTAAGTTGAATCAACCCTATCCCATATCATACTCTATGAGGCAAAAAAAATGCGATGTCGCTGACCGAAAACAGTTTCTTGTTTTGCATCATAGGTTGGTTCTAGCTATTTACGGTCGTTGTCTAGAAATAATTAATATAAAAAAAAGACACCTCAAGAAGCTTGTTTCTGGGCTGTTTTAATCGCTTCAAGTATGGAATGAGGAAAATGTGCTAAGAAATGGCAGTAATTGTCATGAAACATCAGGTAACAAGTCGTTCGGTGTGATATAGCTAGCTGCCGCCGCGCCGCGTGCCTGCGAAGCTGGTGTGTTACGCCGAAGGGCGGTTATACTGGCTATACCGATCAGACGGATTTCCTCATCCAGGATATTCTTTTTGTTTTGCCGCTCTGAAATTGCATTGGATGCCTTTAAGTTGACCGGGGTGAATATGGGAGAGAAATTGGAGTGGCAGAATTGGCTGACGGCGAAGAAATACAACCTGAACTACTGCAGGGGAGTAAGAATTTGCACGTCGGTGAAGGTCGTTCTACTCTAAATACAGACTCAAGTGCTACCACAAACCAAACCAAACCAAACCAAACCAAACCAAACCAAACCAAACCCTATCTATGGAATAAAGACTAAGCTTTAACTTCCAACACTTAGATTACAGAATTGGGACTTACCCAAATTTTCGGTTGACTCCATCAACCTTGTTCACGGAATAGACCCGTCTACTCAAACCCTATCTATTTTAAGCAGATTTTTCATCACGAATGGACATTATGTAATCCCAGAGCCAACTAGTTAATACCGAACGGCTGTTTCTCCCCTGAGTGTGTTTTCCCTCACCGTCACATAAGATTTAAGGTGACGTCCAAGGATATTGGTGCCAAACCAAATATCCCAACCAGATGTAACCTACTTCTAGCCGCACAAGGTTGCGATAAAAGTTGTCTATGTAGGTCTGGTGAGGTACCTAATCTGACCAAGACCCTCAAACCCTCTTTGACATTTGCAGTGACACGTTCTTTACCAAACCATCGGGTCCTTAAGCTCAGATTCGCCCCGGCGTTTCAACTTACTCTCCTGTTTTCCAAGACTTAAATCAGAACCATGTTTAGGGAGTGGATGTTGGCAAGGCTGTCGTTAGAAGCTTCAAAATGATTGCTCTAATGGTCGTGAGAAATGTTGTGGCGTCACTCACGCGAGAGCAATAAGGTATAAAGAAGTCAGCCAGGGAATTCCATACTATTTCATCGCGCCATTTGACCGACATAAACTCACAACGTTTCAGCTAAAAAATATCACCTGTGTGAGATGGGTAAGTTGGGATCGTGGGAGGAGGCTGCGTTTTCTGTGATCCTATAGAAGGGGGCTCGCATGCCCTTTTCCGTAGAGCGTAATCAGCCGTTTTACCGCTCTAATTCAACGGAGAGCGTAATTGGCGCATTTTGCGTATTCGCCATTTTAATTGTACGTAGAGTGTTGTAGCCACTTGGACTTTATCGTAAAGCGTAATCGAAAAATTTCCTGAATTCAGCGTAATACGTAGTCAGCTCTCAAAATTTAGCGTAGAGCGTTGTCGGGACCCCCCATGCAGGCCCCCATAGAAGTGTCACTGAACTTAACTTGGTCAGGGTCTAACTGAGGAGGGCTGTCGTACAACTTTCTTGGCTGAGCAACTTATAAGTTCAGTGACACTTATATATAGGATCAAAGAAAACGCAGCTTCCTCCCACGATACATGTAACGTTATATGATTACAGGAAGAACAGTTGAGTTGAAGTGCCAAGCTAATTTTGCCTCCAAACTACAAAGGTAAGATTTGCAAAGCAAATGCATAATGTTTACCTTTATATATATAGACAGCTCTGTTAATTCTTACTCAAACACATTCACATCATATGGTGACAGGAGTCTAAATCTCTCCTACTATAAAATTGCAACATTATGTAACCCGACACCAGTTACCATGGTGACAGACGGTCTGGCCCAGTAGATTTAGGAGTTATGGTAGTTTTTATTTCTTGTTATGTGTCCCTTGCTTGTACTTATATATTAATATCAAATAATCCTTTTGTATTTTACATTTAGCCCTCAGGCATGAGTTTGCAATAAACAATTATTTTATATGATAGAAAGGTCACAGTGTCTTCCCCACTTACCTCTGCTTGGGGCATAGGCGAAGTCACTGGTATGTGTAATGTAGGAACTGTACATAGGGATAAGAAAGCAACTGGCAAGCAAAGCAACCTTTTGAATTATTCAAAACACGAAAGACGTTACCGGCTATCTTTGAAAGTGAGCAATGTTCAGCGCTACGAATTTCCAAGTATCAGATGGGTAACACCTCTGCCTAACGCCTACTTTGTACTCATCAATAATTCTCTGACAACTACGCACTGTGGAGTACTGAAAGTCAACATGCAGACTCACAGGGTACAGGAAATGCAGTGATAAATTGCAACTCAAACGCCACTCGAGTATTTTCCTCCTACGGCGTCCTACTATGACTTCAAAATGCCATGCATGGCACCCTGGAGAGCTTATCACGCATAGAATCTATGTTCTCTCGATAGCTATCTGTGGAACACGCTCAAACCAATTAAATGCAACATTCCTACTTAATTTGCTTACCGTCTTTTCAGTACGTGGTGAGCGCGTCTTCGTACACGTGCAGATAGCTTCGGATGAAACCAGTGTCTGTGCCTGAAGAAGTAATATTCTCACCCGGCCATCTCTTTTGTACACCGCCCCTAGTTGTTTAACGTACGCTGCGGACACAGAATGACCTTAGGGAAGGTGAACGATCGTCCGGATTTAGGTTGTACGTTGTATAAACAAACTACTGTTTCATCAAAATGGTGCAGCTTAATTCGGCCAGCGTCCAGCGAGGGTATGTATGGGGGATTTTGGTAACGCTTAACGGTAAATTCAGGCAGGCCCGCAATTGTCAACTTTGAATTGAGTTGACTTTTATTTGCCTTTTATAAGGCTTTGGAAGTGACGTCTTTGGAATGTTATTTTGTCTGGCAAATCTGGCTACGCATCCCAAGGAATAATTCATAACCGGAAGTTTGCTGCAGTACCATAACAAGCCGTTAGGTGGCCCTAAATCTAATCATTTCGAGGTCTCTTCAAGACCTATCCACCAAATATCAAGAAAATCCGTTTCAGCCTTCTCGGGTTATCGTGTTGACAGACAGACAGACAGACAAACGGACGGACGGACAGACAGAAAAACACACGAACGCCACCGAAACCATAACCTTCTTGACGAAGGTAGTAATGCTCAACGATGAATTCAGGATAACAAGAAGAGTATAATGTCAAAGAATGGCTTCACGAAGAATTTCTGGACAAACGCCTAACCGTTGGATTTTAACAGAGGGGACAGACTACGATTGGCCTCAAATTATAATAGTAAAATGTTTGCTACGTGTTCACGGAAACAGGCATGCAGACCCTCGAGCTCCTAAGTCTTGCTCTTGGGATGGAAATTCTGGGTGCACATGCGGGTCGTGTGGACTGTGTACTCTGCCCTGCTAACCTGGTTATGTCAGAGTTGAGGATGTCCATTCATCAAGGAGAAGCTTATTTGGGAGATAAACCAATCATGGTGTCTGGAGACCCGGGCAATCTCCCTGTTGTCATCACAGCTCATATAGAGATAATTAAAAAAGAAATGAGTAGCTAATTACAGGATTTCTCATGTCTTTTTTTTCTGGGAGTCGAGATGACTAGGATTGACTCGTCTCATGCATCATTCAGACTTCGTGAGGCAGATGTTTGACATCGTGCAGTGACCTATTTTCGGGAGACTGTTTATTTTTCTCCAGTGGACGAGAGATACGCGGTGTGCTGTTGGGAGGCTTTGTGAAATTAATTTATCCTTTTATCCGGATTAGAGCAGATCTATGTTGACACTCCTGGAAGAAGCGATCAATGTAAAGCCTGTGGTGTCATGGGGACTATGGCATCGACATTGCGAAGGGTATAATCATCTGGACCCTTTAAAGACATCCAGTGCAGTTTTTAAGGCTTGGAAACCAGATTTTTCAAAGTCAATATTCTACTTCTAGTCACTTATCTACGTACTAAGCTGAAACAACACTGTCCCAATGTGTATCGACATTCATGGACCAAAAAGGCCCGATATTCTGACGAAAAACGGTCACTGGAAGGACTTGGATGGATTTTTAGGGTACTACCCAGAAAATAAAGGATTAATCTTGGGGCTTGTTTCTGCAGTGCTAGAGTATGAAATACTGATTCAAATGTGCTAATGTGGGGCAGTATGTGTCAATATCACAGAGATTGCCTTAGTTAGAAATCCACTTTTGCAGCCTTGCAATTGCATTGGATGTTTTTGTTGTAAGGTCGTCGTGCGACAGTCTTTGGGCAGCTCGGGCGGTGGGTAGGGACTACCCTAGCGGACGTTGTCACACATTCAGGACCTTCCCCCGACCCGCAGCAACGAACGACGTTCAGAAAAAGTCTGGCCAGATTTCGGCCACGCCGGCGCATTTGAGTCAAATTTGACTCCCAAACACATCCCGAAAACTCCTGAATGGTTGGCAGGCAGTGGCGTTCTGTTGTCCTGACTCCTGCCGTACAAACCTCACGACCAACTACCGAATGTTTTCAATTTATTTCAAACATAGCCAAACACCAGCCGACTTTGCGCCGACCTACTCCTAACAATGGTTGGGGGGCGTTCGGCTAGTGTTCGGGAGGTCAAATTCCTGAATGTGTGACAGGGGCTTCAGAGATCTTTCTAGGTGGTTGGTTCTGTCACAACATCAAGCATGAAATTGCTCAGACATCACGATGAATCTGACCGCCCTGTTAGAATTACTCACAGCACGAAAGGCAACGCAATATCTTAAAAAGTCAGCAATGCTCAGCTGCAAATTCTCATGTATCAAATGTATCACACCTCTGCGAAACGCCTACCTCGCACTCAATGATATTAATCCTCTGTCAACTTCCATAAGAGTAAAGCTTCTATTGACATCCGCAATGTTTGTGTCACAGTTACATGTCATGTGTAAGAAATGCTAAGGCCACAGCAAGTAAATTATATGGATGACATCCTCCGCAGACTCCAAATCTAATGCGATAGGGCGAAAAAAACAAGGCGGGCCCCCCAAGTAACAAGATTCCTACATTTTCATATTTGACATCTAAAACCTTGTTAAACAAGAAATAATACCTACATTGTGCTAAGTAACATCCACTTGTCACTGAAAAATAAATGGTTTCACTCATTGTACAAATGGTTTTGATTCAGTAGGATCATTACATGTAAAAGGAATGAAATACATCACTGCACCAAAGACAAAACATCAAATCAGAGCCCTATCTTTGCCCATATTCGACATATTGACCACTGTCAGAGGGCAACAAAATTTCTTGTTACTCCGTGAAGGAGGTCAGGACCTCCGGACGGAGTGTTGTAATCGGCTGATTTTTCATGTTCGCAGTCAAAACACTGGGTTCTCTTCGTGTAATCGGCACGCAATTTTATACGCCGTCTGCGGGCATGCCCGTGTTGATGCACGAATGTGTATTTTTGCCGTTGCTGCTTTCGCGGTCAATGTAATATCGCAGACGCACCCCTACAATTACGAGGCGAATTGGAACGGTCCAGAAAAACGCGTTGTTTGGAATAGCGGGGGGGGAGGTAAAAGTTCATGCAGATACGGGGTGGTTTTTATAAGTGGTTCCAGATGTTTTTGCCCATGGTTAAGAGATGCCAAGTTTTTTGGAAGATGTTCGCAGCCAAAACGCATTCTGCCGTACGTCGCATATCTGTGTAATTTCGCATGTGGTGTTGCATTATGTCCGGGATGATGCACGTCTTTTTATTTTTACCGTAGCTGTTTTGATACTGGAGTAAATGGTTATTTTCGAAACATCCCTACTTTTACAATCCTGTGGAATAGACCGTAGGTTTAGGCAGTTGTCTGGTAGCAGAGGTACTGTAAGCAGATATCCTGGTTATCTGGCCGGCGGTAGTAACACTCGCGGTGCTTACCGCCACTGTTGCTGGAATTTGGCTTGTTCCAGGCGCGCTTAATTAGGTACAGGCACCGTAAGACGGTGGGGCTGTCTTTGTTACTAGACACGACCATGATAGTCCGATCTTTATGTGAATGCAATGATTGTGTGTGTGTAATTAAAATGAAGTTCGAACTTGAAGCACAGTATCTTTACACGCCCTGGGAGCAGTAATGGATTTAGCTCTTTGTATGTTTTATGCTTGTGACGCGCCCTCATTGTATTAACCGTTGCCTAATTATAATGTCTGCACAGTAGGTCTGGCGTTGACGCTTGGGATTTTGTTGAAATATATAAAACTTCACGGAGAATTGTCGCCTATGGCTTCTTGTTTTTTTTTTCAATCGAAAATCAAGGCACGTGCTGATGTCATCCATAAAAATTACTTGCTGTGGCCTAAAATGAAATAACCTTCTTGGGAAATGAAAGCTTCAACGTCTACGAACCTAGCGAGAAAGCCTTAAAGACCTCACCACGGTCTAACGCACACCTAAGTCCGTCTTGACGTTGAACTTCAGCATTACAAATCCCTCCGAAGAAAAGAGCATCAGTGGACATCGACATTAAATAGATGATCTTTGACACTGAAGTTTCTGACCTGTGGTAAGTGGTATTGAGGACTCAGCTATACAATCTAGACTAGGCGGACTCAAAGGACTTAAGCTATCCGACATCCACTAAAGGTTTTCACACGATGAAATTAAATCAAAGACTTATAGAAATCTCAGTGAAAGAGAATTCAATGTAGGTACTGTAGATTTAATACGTTTTGCTATATACATATATATATATCTCAACTCCCATCTCCAATGATTTTCTTGTTGTTGCAAGTCTTTTCAGTTTAATAATAGAATTACCTTCTCTTCGCCACATTTTCTATTTCCGGATGGTAGCTCTTTGTCCCTACCCTGTCCTCAGTATAACGTGCCAAGTGTGTTGCATGCAAATTCTGTTAACCACTTGCACCACTTTTAACACACGAAATTCAGTGTGTTCGTCTGCAATTGTGTTTCCTTTCAACAATCCAACCAGCTTATCTACATTGGATTGTACCCCCCTCCCCCTTCTTTTTTTTCCGTCCATGGCATTTTATTTTTGAAGAAGAAGAAACTGAGCAAAAACATCATGTTTACCGAAAATACAGGCAACTTAGCATTGTTGAGAATGGTTGTAGATTCTCCCCACAAAAGTTTTCAAGTCGTTAATTTTTTTGTATTCGAACTAGGTAATCCAAGTCCCTGGAAGTGTTGAGAATTACAGTCGACGCACGTTTTCTTGTCCAAACAATTATAGCAGCGTGTTTCGAGCTGTCGATTATTTCCTGGCACTCGTTAGAAAAGAGACAGGTCGTTATCTTCGGCTGCCGTTCGCTGAGAAAGATTGCTGCTGGAGACTCTCAGTCTGACATTTTGCACCTTTTTTTTCAATCGAACGTTCGGAAAATTTGAATCAAAAGTTTTTCAACAGCGGCAGGCTGCTGACAAGATATAGCTAGATATTAGAAATGTAACATTTGTAAAGCAAATGCATACTGTTTACCTTCGCACATGGTCTGCTCTGTTAATTCTTACTCAAACGCATTCATATATATGGTCACATAGGAGTCTAAATCCCTCCTGCTATAAAATTGCAACATGATGTAACCCAGCTCTACTTACCATGGTAACAGACAGTCTGGTTGAGGTCATTGAGGTCATTGAGGTTGTTTCTTGTTTGCGAGAACTAATTCTGCTGTCTGCCCAGACGCGCCAAGTGAAAGATAGAACTATCCCAAGTTTTACGATAATACTAGTTCATGACCGTCTGCCCCAGTGTTGAAGTATATCCTATTTTACTGTATCCGGCGGGTTTAAATGACGCCTTTGAAAATGTTATGCCTCTGGCTGACTTGAATCATGTACCAGAAGTTATAGAACGACGCAGCTTCAAGCAATTTCCGGGGTTCAAATGGAGCATCTATGTAGATTCATAGTGGTGCAGGGAAGGTTCCTTATTGTATAATCTGTCTTAATTTTAGAACAGGAAAAAGTATTTTAAAAATGAGAGCAACGAGCGCACGCTGTGAATGTTTAAGTTTATAACTAGCGCTCTACGTGAGACTGTTACTGGTAGTTAGACTCATTTAGATTTATGTTTGGTACAAGTTCAAGGTTATTGTGAAGAAGCCATGTAAAGGGATTACGGGTTTGGGACGAAGCCAAAGTTCAGGATGAAATTGTTGGAGTAGGTAATTTGGAAACTACTCGCGTCGTTACGTAGAAACCAGGATACGAGCCAAAAAGTCGTAAAGCATTGAGGGATATTATCTTTGATCATAACCTCTTAAGAAATTAGATAAAGTTCAAGGTTTTGTTGAATGAGCTATATATAAACGTTAGCGTACGGATTTGGGGCTTAGCCAAAGTTCAGGGTTAAATTGTTGTAGCAATTCAGAAAACGACTCATAATCGTTATGAAGACACCGGGGGATGAACCTAAACGTCGTAGAGCACGGAAGGAATGTCATCTTTTTTCCACAACTACTTAAGTCATGTTGATTTGATTGTAAATTAAAGCTAGGTATGACATCCGCGAGCATGAATTATCCTTCGTTCAAAAAAAAAGTGTTCGACCAAACTGTAAATCGTACAATGCAGTTGCCAAATGACCAAACATATGTAATATATATATTGGAAAACGATACTTATCTATAATGTTGTACAATGGCAAAATCAATTCCAAAGGAAAAGAAGAAAATGTGAAGAAATTGAAATGGAGAGTCTATTATTCGCCATGAGCATGATTTGTGTATTTAGTAATTTGTTCAACCCTCATGACCACGTAGATTGCATAATGAAAGCAACTCTTTTGCCAAACTTTTTTTATGTACACGCTCGCATCAGTTTTGAGGTTCCCAGATGATGTCATCCATATAATGAATTCAGAAATGTCCTAAAGAAGATATAAAAGTTTTGGGGCTAAGCCAGAGTTCAGGATTAAATTGTCGAAGAAATTTGGAAAACAACTCGTAATCGTGGCGAAGAAATTAACCGGGGGCTAGACGAAAATATCGTAAAACATGACAACCACTTTCTGAATTTGAAGTCACCAGTTGACGTTACCAGCTAGTATCCCAGGCTAGCTAATCAAGATGCCATTTGCGGACCACTCAACAGCGCCGTCTTGTGGCGCTAAGTACAACTGCAGGGGTACGCCATGTATTAAGGGGAATGCTTTTTAGGAGATATATTTTCGAGTTTACAATAAATGTAATTCATTCAACATATGGTTATACAGTGGTTTATTCGACAGAACAACTAATATTAAGACTTAACTTACATCAGGTTTTGTTCAAGCTGCAATAATCTTTGAAGAAATGTGGGAATTGTGTACATAGATTTACATTTCAATCAATTATGATTTAATGTATTCTGAATTCCGATTTACGTGAATGTGTTGAATGCCCCCTTATATCAGTTGGATATCATTTTAAATAACAGTTAACACGGTAATTAGTTTGACAATTGTTACTCTATACTCTGCAAAAGTCAATAAAAAGTGACTCACCAAAGACAACGCCGTGTGTGTTGACTTGAACCCGAAGCTACATGTACATGCAGTTCATTTTGCTTTACATAGGGGGCGTCCGAAACTGGCCCTTGCCTTTTAATGGGTTACAAATTGAAGTATGAAGTATTTCATGCCTCTCTACCATAAGTTTGGCGCTTCAACACACACGTTATCATAAAATATCACATCATCTAACCTATTTCAAAGGGAGGTAGAATAAGTCTTACTAATAGATAGCAAATCTACATAATTTACAAATATAATTTATGTTGGCCTCTCATTACATCTTTTGTGGTTATATACAAGAAAAGCGTAGACCAAGTAATTAATCGATAAAAGAATCCAGTCTTTCTTAAGAGTTGCTTAATAAATAATAGAACCTATTAGAAAGCATAGTGCATGGTTGCTTTCGCTAACAAGTGTTAATGATATTTTTAGCACAGGAACTCAAGAAATACATTTACATTATTTGCAGGATACAATATATTTGGTCAATCCATGTGATATGAATAGTCTCTAAGCAGACACTGTAGGATATTTTATTGTGGGAGTTCTAAACTGGCTAGAAAAAGGCTTCTGAACAACGTAGTTGCCGCCATGACACCTCTCCGTCCTGGCCCGGAAGCGGAAGTGACGTCATCCCGTAATGGCGGCTGGGGTGTGGTCCTGGTTTGAAGGGCAGACGGGACAGCACACACCTGACACGTACACTGGGTTCGCGCATGACGTCGTAGGGCAGGACTGAAACACACCAATCAACACATTTATTTTATCCAAGCATATGCCTTGATATGAAGGAGCGAGAATAAAACGAGCCATCCTATTGGTTACAGTGAATCAATGAGCACAAACCGTTTATTACAGTACTAATGCCATTCTTCCAGACAAGTACAGTACTTAAAGTACTTGAAAGACGCTCAAAACAAGTAACGTACAAAGAAGTCCAGCAAGCTTTACATCTGCTTGGAGATTTGGACCACGCCCTTGGCGTCAACTTTAAAGGCATCCAAAATGCAGTTTCAGGGCAGAAAAACTGGATTTTCAAAGTCAATTTGCAGGTCATTCTTTCAATGCAGTAAGTTGAATCAACCCTATCCCATAGCATACTGATATCTGTGAGACAACAATACGATGTCACTAACGGAAAACAGTTGCTTCTTTTGCATCGTAGGCTGGATCAAGCAATTTATGGGAGGTACAAAATAAAGAAGTGCCTCACGTAGCTTTTTGGGGCTATTTCAAACGCTTCAGGTATGAAATGATGACAAAAATGGCAGTACATGTCAATATTAGATAGATTTCGTCATCCAGAATATTTTTGTTCTGCCTCCCTGAAATTGCATTGGATGCGTTTAAAGGAGGTTTGAAATCATTAGAACACTTACCACCACCATGCACTGTAAGAATCCGTCGCTGCAGTAACACTGTTCACACGGGCCCACTGCCACCCACTGCCCCTCAGGGATCTCTCTCTCACCGAACCGACACGACGCCCGGCCCACACTGTTGATCTGTCTTCTCGCTGAAAATAGAAACAATCATCAGACCCTGTCAGAACCTTCCCCAGACCAACAACCAATAAAAGTACGGTACGTCGATGAAGGTAGATGTATACGCCCCAAACAGTTACTCATTGACAAGCAGCTAGATATGATTTTTACTAAATCATATCCAGTTCCTTGAGTAACTGTTTTTGCAATAGGCGCAAAGTAGTCTGATGGCAGGCCAGGTTCAAGCCACGCCTACCTTTCGATAGGAATCGAATCACATTTGAGTTAGATTTGAGTCAAATTTGACTGCCAACCACGCCCGACTTACTCCCAACCACCTGCCAACCTTGGCCGAACCTCCCGTCCACACCCGAATGTTTTAAACACTGTTTGAAACATTCGGCTGGCGCAGCCGAACAGTAGCCGACCACCGCCGACCTTGCTCCAGACCTACTCCCAACCATGGTTGGTGGGAGTTTGGCAGTGTTCGGGAGGGCATATTCGGTCATGTGTGACAGGGGCTTTACCGTAGCCTGGGTACCATCAGGATTTTCGCTCCGCAACGCTCGAAAAAATCACGCTCCGCAACGCATCGAAAAAATCATGATTTTTTTTCGAGCGTTCATCATCATCATCATAATAATCCAGTGAGCGTTGCTGAGCGAAAATCCGGATGGTACCCAGGCCAGCTTTACCGACAGAGCCATGTTGTTTGCCAGGAGATACGGTACGGCTCAGAAGGTATATGTTGAGAATAGAAACTGTAAATCTTCCAGACGACAGACAGTCGTTGCCTGCCTACGAGCACGCGGGCAAATTGTTCTAACCTCATGTCAAGGAGATTTGGCGTAAACACTTGGGAGAAGGCCAAGGACCATGCTAAGCTAAAGGTAGGTAAGGTTGGTAAGGAGGAACGCAATGTCGTTTTTACTGTCCCTTTTTTTATGACATCCTCTTGGCGGCATTAATAATAAAAACTGTACGATTGTCCTTCCCACCTTGAACTTGGGGGTTACTGTTAATGTTACAGTATCGGTAAGAAGCATAACTAATTTTTTCTTTGTTTGTGAGATTCTGGGAGATTCCAGTTGTACGGAATGTCTTCAGAGAGGCCCCAGTGTCAGAAATTTGTACAGTAGAACTTGTAAAATTTAAAAATCTTTTATGATTAGATTAGAGACAGACAGAAGATTAAATGTGAAGTAGATTCAGTGCAAGAACGGCGTTCTGTCTCGGCAGTCCAGTTGCTAATGCTGAAAGAGAGCTGATATACGTAGACAAAAATAAGTTCAGATTAATAAGACTTGAAGTTTCTTACCGTAAACTCGCTTGTTTCCCTGAAACGCATGGGCGCTCTCTTGTGGACCCTTGCACGCTGCACAGCACTGCCCGGGTATTCTCTCCACCTCGGCGCAGTCCTGGGAGTAGAAACATTGCATGGAACTGCAGTGGAGCTTGCCGTCGTTACAACTGCACCTGGTGCAGTCGTTGATTTTCTCATAGGAACCGTCTGCGATGAGCAGACCTTCAAAGGAGCAGTCTCCGTACTTCAGACTTTCAGCTGGAAAGGAGATGGAAGATTAGGTTGTCCTGGTATTGGTTAGGCTATATTGATTTGATTATATGGATGACATCCGCGCCCGCATAAATTTTTTGTCCGTATCCATTAAAAGTTTTCGCCCATGCTGTAAATCGTACAAAGCAGCTACAAATTGAGCAAGCAAATATAGGCCGTAAATTGCAAAAATATATTGGAAACGATAATAATGTCGTAGAATTCCAAAATCAATTCCAAATGAAGTCTATTATTCCCTTCAGTCTTGAGGTTCCCAGGATATGTCATCCATATAACCAAATCAACATGGCCTTATACTTATAGTTACAACCAACAAAGCAAGCCAAACAAGCAAGCAAACGAGCAACCACTGAAGATTACTGAACAAAGCAATCAAACAAGAAAGCAACCAACCAATCAACCAGGTAAGTGATCATGAGCAACTATAGGCCATGCAACCAACAAACCAGACACACGCAAGTACACATTGTCATAATGATGTTTACCCGTATTTGCTTTGTCCACTTGATCCCATTTCTTCTCTGCACACACGTGACACCGTGTTGTCCTGTCGAACTGCACCCTGGGACACCAGAACGGATAGGGCCCACACTTGGAGACAATTCCCGGATGCTGTGACGTCAGACTCTTCGCCTGCAGGTTCATGAAGTCACCGCTACCTAATGTAGGACGGAGGAAAAAAATATTTCAGAAAACAATTTCACTTGCTTACCTTTCGATGTCTATCAGACACCTTCCTCAGAGCTTCTAACAGGAGTATCGCTACACATAGCGTTGAGAATCAGAACTCATGATCAAGTCAGAAGCTCTGAGGATGGTACCTGATACACATCGAAACGTAAGCAGGTGAGATGCATTACTTCTTGTGTAAGTCTTAGAAGAACTTGAATCCCTACAACCTAGAAATATTTCACTTGTCAAGTAGCTAAGGTGTAGATATCTTAGATCCAAAGATCCCAACTGTCAGTAAGCATTCAACTAGATGTGTAGTTTGCTTAGCAGTTTTCCTCTCAATATTTTCCAAATAACAGAAAAGGCCCTGCAAGAATTCAGATGCCAGTATATGGTTGTTGAAACGGGGGATGTTCGTACAAAGAAAAATGTATATCTGTTTGTCTTCGCTTCATTCAGATAAGGAATTCACAAAATAAAACTTAGAAAGAAGTTTGCGTCTTGTTGAACAAAGATCACTGCCCTCCTATGACCCTTGTGTATAACCGGTACATAGAGCGCCTTTGTGTTCAACTGTGGTGGTCTCTTGGTTCAGCGAGCAAACATATAACGAGCGGTCAAGTGCGACGTGCCTCTATGAAAAGCAGCAACAGTCACTTCAAAGGCAGGGCTACTTCCGAGTGCCGTGTCATCACGGTGCTTTGACGTCATCAAGCGAGCTCTCGTTTTCTCTTCTTGTCAAAATCTGGTCTTGTCTAAACAGCAAATATAAAAGCCTCACTGTTTTCTTCCACGCATTCCTCAGACCCCCCGGCGATCACCATGTTTTCTGTAAACATTTTGGTCTTGTCGTCAAAAGCACTGAAGTGTACAGAGCCGGGTACACCTTTTGGAAAGTGCTGTAAAGAACTTTCCCGATGAAAAATATACACAAGCTCGTTACTACATGACTCAGTTGTCGTTGAATTCGAGCAAACTGACCTTTTTAGAGCGGGGTTGTTTTGCATGGTGTTACATGATGTGTGTATGTAGGCAAGAAGAGGCCTTGAAAACTTTTACCAAATGGGAGAATTATTGGCCTTATCTTAGCTGGATGTTCAACAAACGAGGGAGCCTAAAACATCCAAAAACAGTGTTGATGTAATTGGCAAATACACAACGTAGCTCTGAGCTATTTATAAGTTTTTAGATCAACCAAGAAAAGTAAGCACTGCTCTACAAGACAAATGCGAAGGTCACAATCAGATAAACATGGAGATGGCTTTTGTTATTGTCACGTATTGCAGGAAAAGCAAGATTTTGGTTATAGTTTCCTTGGCGAACAGTTAGCAAGCACTCGCAACAGTTCGTCTTGGAGGGTTGAATCTTAGTTTAAAGTTAATTAATTAATATAATAAAGAAACTGGAAATGTTTTCAAACATGACGTGTTTTGCGAGACTGACCTTCTGGGACACAGGTGCCGCTTTGCCCCATGGGAAGAGTGAAGCACCACGCCGGTATGAGACCACCTTGAGCCTGCACAAACTTCCTGCACTCTGGATGTCTGCAGACCAGCCCTGCGCCGCACCTGGTAAAAACAGCGGCAGAAAATTCCTCTTATTCAAAGGTGATATTTATAAACGACGTGTTGTTGACCTGTCTTGATGATTGACGTTTCGTGTGAGGGAAAATGTCAACAGCAAACGGCTAGGGGTAACAGAATCACCGCGTCTGCTCTCAGTGAGTGCTGACCAGTTTGATACAGTTTATTTTCGCGCGTAAACCTCGTAGACTATATGTAGCTCGATGTATGCTAATATTCAGTCATAGAATTAATCTTGAGTTGATGCATCTTTCATTTCTTATTTCATCCCTAGGAATGCTGACCTAACCCAAACTGGACACGGGAAACATGACTGAATGTGAACCTTACGCGGTTGTTTTATTTCCCTCTCATCCCATCTGCAGTAACCATCACTTGGCAGTCACGCACTCAGCACGTGTCTGTCGACTGGCGAGCACGCCTCCTGCACGTGCCACACAGCCTGACAAGACACGAGAGCTAGTGGCGACCGTCTTTTCAAACGGGAGGGTTATGTAAGGTAGAGGTAAACTGAGAACCACTTGTCGTGTGTGTCTGAACTCTCTGACGTTTCAGAGTCAGCGAGTCGGGCAGAGGTTGCATGCTTGCTCCTCGGCCTCGGAGCAGAGTCCAAAGTAATGTCAAGGTTACGTTCCAGGCCAAACAAACAGAATGAAGGATGCTTTTCGTTACTTTGTAGCATGCGATGTGGCTTCAAATAATACTAACCCGTGTTTTAAGCCAAACACACCAGGGAGCCCCTCTTCTTCTCTAGTCAATAAGTGTACTGGGTTCTTTTACAGCTGGAGTCTGCACCATAACTTTAAACCCTGACCAAAAAGCAGCTTTGCTTTATGTCCAAATAAAAAATAAATCAAAAGACAAAAACAAAAACAAAACAAAAAATGAATTCAAATACACCAAAACTTTAAACTCTAACAAAAAAGCCAACTGAGGAAGGTAAGTTATCAGAAAACTACATAACTATTCCACTGCTGTTTTGTAGTCATTTCTTCAAGTTAATCGACTTTGTGAGGAGCCCAGGAATAGCCACTTACGTGTCTTACGTGTTTCATCCAGCGAGGCGTAGTTCACTCTAGGTCTGATTTTGATTTGCTACCTCACGGTGTGCCCTTTTCAAATAGCAGGGGAGGAGATGCACTCGCAGAAATTTGGCCCCACACTGTTTTATTTAAGATCCATGGCACTGCCTGAGTACCCCGTGCCAAGTTGACGAGCCACAATTCCGAGAAGACCTCGTGTTGTCAGTTGGGTCCGTAAATTCCAAGCCGAAGGTCCTGTCAACACACATTAATCAGCTACAAGAGTCGACAGGCTGTATCTGTCGTCTGCGTGCAACGCCTGGGCAACCGTTCCCGCTGCATCATGGGATAAGGCCATGTTGATTTCATGCTATGGGTGACATTCGCCCGCATGAACTTTCGTCGATTTCCAAAAAAAAGTTTTCGACCGTACTGTAAATTGTGCAAAGCAAGTGAAAAATGAGCAAATATGTACCGTAAAGGCAAAAAAATATTGTACAACGATACTAATGTATAAGAATGCCATACTCAATTCCAACGAAACAGAAGAAAATGTGAAGAAATGAAAATGAAGAGTCTATCATTCGCCATACCATACTCCGCGAGTTAAGTCATTTGTTCAACTTTCATGACCACGTAGATGTCATAATGAAGGCAACTTTGTTATTGCCAAAGTTTTTCTTTATATTTCACACGCTCGCATCAGTTTTGAAGTTCCCTGAGGATGTCATCCATGTAGCCAAATCAACATGGTGTAATTTCTGAGAAATGAGGCCCCTACAAACACCCTGTCCTATAGGGGGGCGGTTAAACACTAGAGTACTGTGTTTTACTTGTCAAAGTCGAGCACAAAGGTCTTTATTGACTCCCAAGGGTGATTAAATCTGAGTCTTTCAACCATTTATCATTGATAATCATATGATCTATACGTTTGGCGCCATTTCGTCTTGGCAACAGAAATGTTTGTGGTAAATTATAATTTACTCTGACGTCTTCAGCATTCGAACAATGCCACAGGGCTTTAAACTAATACTCCATAATTGCATATTTAGGTTGAACAATACACATATGATTGGGGCTTATAATAGCAGCGTTCTTGTATGAATCCACTCTCAAAGAAAAAATCAATTACGACCGTCGACATGAGACATTTTACAAATAGCTCGAATTGTTGGTGAATCACTTAAATCCGTATCAAGTTACCTTAATGACCAGGCGGCGTGGTGCTTGTTTTAAATTATCATCTTCGCAAGTTTTTAAACTGTTCCTCAAAATGTCACGTGTAATATGTTGATACCTTAAATGTCCTGTAAAAGACGCGAGTGGCCGTAGAACACACGGTATTATCAGGAGTTGTCAGATGTATTGATGTGACAAATAGGAGAGGTTCAACCTGTACAAAGGCGCCAAAGACGGGGGTGGCTCCCTTCCAAATGAACGGGTTTAAGCCAGATTATGAAAACAATAGTATCAAACGTCGTCCCGGCTTTTTGTAAAGGCCGAGGTTAGAAAGATCACTAACGACAGAGGCTTTCTCATGAAAGTGGGCACCTGTGTGTAACGATTAGGCGACATTGTAGGTTATGTAATCGTAGGACGTTGAACTTTTGCGCGAGAAACAACATTCCTGTTTACTGGACCGGATACGCTCTACAGGGCATCTCTAAATTTTGCCATGAAATAATACGTTATCAAAGTTTACAACTTACAATAATGGCCTTAAAGATTTGCTCCAAATTTCTATTGTTCTCAATGTTATTGTATCAGCTTTTGAGACTTGGATCTGGACCTAGTTACACTACATACGACACTTTCTGACACCACTTTTTTGAGTTTGACACGTACTTTTTGGTTTGATAATAATATTCTCTGTATTTACTTTATCTTATTTTAGAGAAAGATGAGGACCATTCAAAATATTCTCCGGACACCTTAAATCATGTATAAAGGTTCCGCCAAGTGTCTTCCTTTGCGCGTACCTTTACGTATGATTTAAGGTGTGCGTAAAGGTAGAATTTCGTGAAGTGGAAATGCTTCCAGCAAGCTGTCCTGTTCATACAAAGCTATTGAAGAGATATCATTTCGTCAAAGCTCTGTAGCAGCTGATGCGACTTAGAAACGTAAAACACCAACAAGGCAGAGGTTCATTTTTCTATAGTGTCGTCTTAATAATTATAAATACGTGAGGCAAAGGTGGTAAAAATATCATATTGGCTGGTGCAGTCGCAAGCAAGTGATTAGTAAATCCTACTTTAGAAACTGTCAAAAAGTCGGAAACTTTTATCTATGAATGGCCCAATATACGCTGATAAACGACAGGAAAATAGGTCTCAGGTTTAACCCCCCCTCCCGGGCGTCTGTCAGCGGCCGGGCCTCACATGAAGGCGGCGCAACACTGCGGCACATTGTGCGTACGGACGGTACATTCCTGTACACACCACACCCACGGCACGATCCAACCACAGTATCCTCCCGTAACGTGTTTACCGATCAATACGATATCCTTCAGTATACGCCGCGCGCACTGACACTCAACAATCGCTTCATTCATAGAGAATCTCCGGTTTGACACTCCTGACTGATTGATATGAATACGCACACTTAAAGAGGACAGATATGCATCTTGTATAAACATCCGTGCCAGACGATAAAGCTCGCCTTTAATATCGAAGTCTAAAGACTTAAGTGGGCTACTTAAGGGGCGAGTTCACCGTTTAAGATCTTAAGACTTTTCCCCGAAATGTCTTAGTCATTCACCTTTTCAAAAAGGTGGAGCTGCCTAAAACTTTGCTTGTACCTTTCAAACAGTATTTTTCTCGAGGCAACGCAGAAGAAAACTTGTGTAATGTTTTTATTTTGACGCGCGGTGAATGTATTGCGTGCCTTCTCTACCATGGTCGATAATGAACATTAATTATACCCCAAAACAAAGGCATACTTTCTTATAAGTGAATCTCCAACAGCAACTAGGTCATAGGCCTGGCGAGTTATTTTTGTCTCCCAAGAGTTTCGACAGAACAGAACGTCAACAACGGCCACAACGCAAGTGAATTCTGTGCGACACATTCGCAACAATTGTCGTAGCCTTGTCGTACGACCTGTGTGAAGGTGGCTTGCCAGAGTTCTTAGACCTTTGTGTGTGTATAATATTACTCACAGCATCAGAAGACTGAATTGTATGCGACAAATTCACGACAATTGTCGTAGCCTTGTCGTACGACGTATGTGACTGTGGCTTACAACAGATCATAGACCTTTGTGCATAGTATTAATCACAGCATTAGAAAATCAAGCTCTGTTTGGAAGGCCAAAATCGCTGCTGGGTTTAAAGTATGAACCTGCACAACGCGTTCTACTGACAATATTCGGAGTAATTGAGTGAAACACTGAACATTGTTGGCCTACAAATAGCTTTTATTCAGTCGAATGTCCTTGCCTTCGGCCTTTTTTTCTGAGCGATTAAAGATGTACGTTCGAATTCTATGTGTGGCCTGTGCTACCTTAAAAGGGCAAAACTTGCTCTTTGTGGTTTCCCAGTGCGTAGAACGCCCGAGATATTTGCCTCTGAATCATTGTTATGATTGTGAATAAGGCAAATCATCTGGGACACTGCCCTAGCGCCTCATACCACGGCGTGTGTTTGATGATATTGAGGGTCACCGTGATGGCCCTAGCCGGACTAAATTTGTCGCCGAAAGACTGGAAGTGTCACACACTACAAGCATAAATCAGGATATATATAAACCACGGAGTCCCGGGCATCATTAGCGCATAGTCCAGTGTGTTCACAAGAACATGTGACTCACCGCACTAGTCCGTACCCGTGACTTCGACGCATTACGCACTTGTGTGCAAGCATTTTACGGGAAAAATTAACGCACTGTAGAAAATCTAATCCCGGTTCCAACTCCACATGCAGACTGGCCTGCAGCACATTTTTGCCGTATTTTATACTTAGACTGTTATGTGTAATGGTCATACCAACGTGCTCCTCTATACTATGGCGAAAGGGTACATTCGCAGGTATAATTGTTTACCCTTAATATTTACCAATCTATACCCCGAATATGAAGGAAAGATGTGCATTATCTGTTGATATGGTAAGGACGTTGTTTAGTTAGCGTTAGATATAGATAAAGAGGTATAACGCCGTCCCACATGGCCGTACACAAGCCGACACGTGGGGTTGTTGTGACAGGGAGCGCGCGGCCCGTGTACAAAACACGCGGGCGGCAGCGTGGCCTTACCTCGGTGCCTCTCCGCCGCACGCCTCGCCCCTGCCCCGGGAACACGCGTCGCAGCACCCACACTCGTCCCTGACCACCTCGCAACCCTCCGCCGACAAAGCGGGACATTTGAATCCGACCTCGTGTCGACAGGGGCACAGGATGCTCATCGGGAGAACCGTCCCCACGACCGAAGTGACCACGATGACCAGTAGAATCCCCGCCATTGCTATCCCTCCCGGCCGTATTCTGTCAGTTGCTGTTTTGCTCTGAGCACCAAAGGTGGGGTCGCGATGATAAATATTTTGTTGTAGTTTTCATCACCGCAAGGCATCTTGGGGTGGATCGCTTCCTGTCGCGGTTTGGTCCCCAGCCAAGTGGCCCAAGAATCCTGGCCGCGAGCCAAGTTTCAGAACAGGCGCTTACACCTCTGTTACCTGCCCTAGGGGGGGTGTCTAATAGTCTTCTTTCTTCTGCAATGTGTTAGATGCTCATCGGACATTGTTGCGCCCTGACGGCGCGGCGTCATGGATCTGGCGCGGGTCCAAGAATCCTTCACCGCCGCAGAGCTATGTCATGACGTACGGTGCCGATGTTTGTCGTAGATAAGACGGTTTGCAAAACGCCTCTCCATACAAGTGGCGTGTTTGTCTCCCGAGGGGCATAAAAGCTCCCGATATTTGAGAGGCGATCTCGACATGTTTGCGGACGCGTGTTGTAGTGCGCCCCGTCCCTACCCTGTACACACACCGCCGTGTGATCAGCGCATTTTTGTAAACTACACTAAAAGGAAGAGGTGCGACTTCCCGGAGTCGCTGACTTGAAACAAAGCCGACGATCGAACCATACACTATCACTTGGTCATTTTACCTGTTTGAATAGTGCATATGGCTACAAGTTTCAATCATTGTTGTGTAACGTGCGTGGGGTGTGGCTCACCCAAACACGGGACCTCCATTTAATGTCCTATCCGAGGGACGTCCCTAACCGAAGCTAGGTACTCATTTGCACCTGAGTTAAGTGAGGAAATTTGTGTTAAGTGCCTTTCCCAAGGGGACAACTAGTCTAAAGCATGTAGGTGGAATCGAACCCAGGACCCATGGGTTCCAGGCCGAATGCCCTACCATTACGCCACATGACGGCATATTACGCTATACGACGCCACATTACGCCACACGACGTTCACAAATTTCTCTCTAAAACTCAGCATATACAGCTACAAGGCCAAGACCTGGTCCAAGAACATCTCCTTCGAAGAAAAGTGGATATATCTAATCCTTTTATAAAAGAAAAACGAATATGCAAAGGAACTTCTGTACTGTTAGTATCTTTAAGTAGAAAATCTGCCTTAAGCTTTAAGATTCCCCACCCTTTCTGGAAAATAGTCAGAAAACAATCGAGTTCCCCTGCACATCACTAAGCGGCTGTTAGCCTCTGCCAGGCTTCAGACGAGGCTGTAAAGAGTCTGTTAACCTCTAGCAGGCTTCAATATTGGCTCCAAAGAGTAGATCTAGAAATCGGCCAAATAGACAGATCAGGGGAATTAGTCCGCGCAAAGAGAACAGTTTACCGCTACTACTTTTCTCTTAACACAGTCCACCTTCCCTGGCATATCATCTGTATGTTTCGCCGATTTCTACTCTTTGCAGCCGCTTCCCGAAGCCTGTTAGAGGCTAAGCGGCTGTCCCTCCTAGCCGTCTGGGTTTCTCTAGCGGAAAGAAATCCCCCCGGAGCTCATGTCTCATCTTACATATTTTCCAGACTTACGAGACTCTCGTTATAATCGTCTTTAAGGCCCAATAATCTGCGCTATGTCGCAAGACGCACCAGAGCTTAAGGTAGAACACTAGAAGGTGTACTTAAGTACCTGTCACCGAAAGGCACCGCCCAGACGACGTAAAGAATTGTGCGACTATCTATACATCTAGAACACCCACTCATACATGTTTAAAATGTCTGTGGTGATACATATTTTCGGAAGAAAATTGCTTGGGCAGGGCCACTTTGAAGTCACAATGACAACGTAAATGTAAGGATGACTCTGCATGATTCTATCGCTGAACTTTCCTAGCTTCTTTGAACAGGTTGATACACCTCGAGTTTGTTTTACATTGTACTTCTCAAATAAAAAAAATATAAACATAAACGTTAAGTAACATCTCCAAAACCCCCTCTGGGAAAAATGCCATATATTATCAGACTCAGTGACGCCAATGTTTTTTTTTGTGGTGTGAGTTTTAGGAATTCCAAGGACATGACAGAAAATCGACGGTACGACAATACTTCACAGGACAGCTGAATGTTGCAAGACACATCCAGGACATTTCTTCAATAGGAATGTCCCCGATATGCTGTCGTACACTTGTCGCAAGACACAATATGCGGTCTTTCATCTGTCGTAAGATGCAATATGTTGTCATACACCTGTCGTAAGGACTGTCCTATATTAGAAATGTCCCCAATATGCTGTCGTACACCTGTCGTAATGCGGTCGTACATCGGTCGTAAGACGCAATATGCTGTCGTACACCTGTCGTACAGCTGTCATACATGACGACTGTCCTACAGTAGAAATGTCCCCAATATTCTGTCGTAAGACGTAATATGCTGTCGCACACCTGTGGTAAAACGCAACATGCTGTCGAACACACGTCGTAAGACGCAATATGCCGTCGTACACCTGTCGTAAGACGAATTATACTGTCGTACACCTGTCTTAAGACACATGTGACACGGAAGTTGACTGGGAGGGGTGTTTGGGTCCTGTGTCTTCACCCGGAACGCTCTTAAATGACTTCCCTAATTGTCCGCAACACCTCGTGCACAATAGGTGTGCTGTGTCTCACCCCACTGGCGAATTCCGCGCAGTTTTCTCTGTGTTGACAAGCCCTTACCTAGAAGACAACGAGGCACCTCCGAAATATACAGGTCGCCAATTTAGATCCATAACAATGATAACAGCTGGGTCGCTAGAGAATGTGCGAATGGGGTCTCTCAAGTTGATTGAAAGGCATCCAATGCAATTTCAGGGCAGCAAAATAAACAAAAACATATATGGATGGAAATTTTTAATTTAATTTTAATATACTGCCGTATCGTAGCACATTTTTGCCATTATTTCATACTTGAATCGTTTGAAATACTAGTAGCCCAAAAACAAGATATGTAAGGCCTCTCTTCATATTTTGGTCGCCGCCAATAAGTAGCTAGAACCAGCCTATGATACGAAACAAGTATCTATTTTCCATCAGTGACATCACATTTTTGCTTCACAAATTAATGTTGGTATGCTATATATGGGATTGATTCAACTTATTTCATTTTAAAAGAATAACCTGAAAATTGACTTTGAAAATATTACCATATTAAGCACATTAATTAAGGGGTTAGAAAGCAATTTTATTTGTATTTGTATTAAACTCATTCATAGAAAATTGTCTTAAGAAATTCCGAATACAACATCTTCATAAAGTGACGTGTCATCATGAGGTGGTTTTTTCTTACATTCCAGTCGTTCTACATGTTTTTTTTTATTCCAACGTGTGCCACAAGACGTGGTGACGGCACACTCAAGTTTTTTTTTTCAATATTAATGCCACCACTAACTCAGGGGACAATACAATGCTCATTTTCACCTGTGTTAAGTGAGGAAAGTCGTGTAAAGTGCCTTTCCCAAGGGCACAAGATCGGTGGCATGTCAGGACTCGAACCCTAGACCGGTTGGTTCCGTCCGAGTCGAGCACTCTGCCGCCTCGCCACACGACCCCATTTCTACATGTTTGATCTCAGTAAATCTATCGACGGAAATGGTGGTTTTAAAGCTATGATAATGATTGTACCTTTGAGGGGGCCAACCCACCTTTCTTTGTCAATGTTCCGCTGACTCATTGTCACACGTGGAGTCTACCAGTCATGGCAGAATGCGGAAGCAAATATTTGTTTATCCAAAGAAAATATTGTGTCGTGGCCTTTTAAAAATCAAAATTTTTTAATGAAAAAATATTCGTATGATCGTAATTACATCCACCTTTGAACATATATTTGTTCAATTATCTCATGTGCATTTCTGACATAATTGGCGCAAAATTAGCCCACATGAGCCACACAAACTACCGGATTGGAAACCAGATTTTCGCCCGTTCTCCCCCCAAAAAAGAGCACGTCCTCCGAGGCTCTGGCCTGGGTCGTCCATGGTAGTTAGCGACAATACGGTGGTAATTCTGGAGGACGGCACCAAGGCTACCGAAGCTCCACGACTCAAGAACTCAGTATACATGTATATACCTACAGTGCCGATTTACAAATTCCGCAAATAGCCAGCTTGTGCCGGCTTGTTGTATGCGTCGCTATGTACTACCGTCACAACACCAGCTTTGCATTTAGTAGCATTTTTATTTTTGGCCGGATTTTTTTTTACTTGCCCGCGCAAATCTGGGGGTCTTCAGAGGATGTCATCCATAGAATTAAGTCGGTGTGGCCTAAGCAAGGCACACATGTACAGAAAACACTGTGTCTTTGCCCTCGTCAATGTCTTTAAAAAGGACAGCCCACAAATAAATGTCACCTCTGACGCGAGCGGTGCCACTTTGGAGTTCCGGTCATACCTGTCATTCTTTCATAATTACCGCTCCGGAAATGTACCTTTTGTGTGTGCCGTACATGTGACATGTGTGTGATACTTACGTAGGTACCCGTGAGGTCGCAATAAGTTGCCCCGAAGGTTTGTTTTTATTTCGTCCGGACAGAGCGTATAATGTCTTGGTCGAACGGAATTCGGGTGGGGGTTATGACGTCATCACAATGTCATGTCATGTCATGTCATGTGTCGTGACACGTTTCTTATGTAAATTTCAGGGAGTGCCACAATTAATTTACTAAATGAAAAAAAAAAGGTCAATAGCCTCACCCAGGCCAGGGGAGTTGTTTCGCCAAATGAGTGCAGTTTGCCATTTTCTATGGCATGTTATATCAGTCTATATGGCCAATTTCTGCTCTTTCCAGCCACTTCTGATAGAGGCTAGATGGTCTGACCAATTGACCAAGAATGAATGTGGCATTTGGGTGGGGGTGTTACCTTAAAATTGGGCTGAAAATATCAAGAAGCACCTTATATCTGGACAAAGAGACCGTCACACCCCAAAAAATTAGGTAGTATTTATCCCTGGAACATAGTAAAACCCTAATCTACACATATGTCCCACACAACAACGTTAATTCGTCACACTGAGAAGTTGAGTGAAGAAAAGCCCCAAAGGTTGATACCCTTTAAAGTGTGCAGTAGCGCCATCATGCGGACCTTCCGAGTTCTGCACTACTAATATGTGTGTATTGTATATACATGTATGTATACCCATTGTCATTTTAAAGAAAAGTATGAGTAGCCTGTGGGATTTTGGATACCGAAACCATTTCAGCTCGATTGTTCTGCTTTGTGTAAAATTAACAGAACCATACATATTCTTACTCTTCAAATCGCTAACTTTAACAATACTTAGTATGTATTAGCACGTCACAGTTTGGGTATCATAAACCATAACCACTGAAAGGGGCTGAAAATAATGTCATCCATATTTACCTTGTGTAAAACTACATGCAGTAAACTCACAAGTTAAGCACGACAAGACAAACTTCCATCACTTCCCAACAAAATGTATTACTTCTTTCACGTTTCTCAGAAGTCTGACTGTTGAGAGAAATGATGTCAGGTCACTCGGACACAATCCCGGGGACATCAGGGCTGACGCTTGGCTGAAAAAATAACATCGACATAGTTTGCTCTTAGGCCATGTTGATTTGATTACTAGTATATGGATGACACCCTCTGGGAACCCCAAAACTGAGGCGAGCGTACGAATAAAAAACGTTTGGCAAAAAAGTTGCCTTCATTATGAAATCTATACGTTATCATGAAGGTTGAAAAAAGTGACTTAACACACGGAGAATGGCAAATAATAGACTCTTCATGTTCATTTCTTTACATTTTCTTCTTTTCCTAGCCTTGGGAATTGATTTTTCAATTTTTTTTTGCAATTTACAATATCTATTTGCTCATTTTCCAGCAACTTTGTACGATTTACAGTATGGTCGAAAACATTTTGTTTTTTTTACGAAAATTCATCCATATAATCGAGGATATTATATGTCCTTGATATAATCAAATCAACATGGCCTAATTAGAATTTCAGTCTTCATAAATGATCTGTCGACATAAAACCCAGAAAGGAGTAACAAACTGTAAATATACTTACTCTTATCCGCTATGGCCGGTGTCTGTTCAGATTCACGTCCGTAGAACAGACAGACTGGACAGCACTGTCCCGGCATCTGGGCCTGGTGGAGACAGCCGAACATGATAGGGCCGCATGATCCGGAGTAGTCCACACACCTGGGCTGTCCCTCAAAGCAGGTGCACTGGATACAGAAGTACGAGTCTATCGGATACCACTGTCCCGGCTGTACAGTCACCCCGCTGATCACACAGGACTGGTCGTTGCTATCTCTCTGAGATAGAGCTACACAAGAGGGCGCATGGCGAAAATTGGGCATGCTGATATTGTATATTCGGTTAAGTGTAACCGTGCATCCTCCATACGATTATACATAAATAATTTACTAGTATATATATGAAAACGGGACATTCACCAGCAGAAAAGTCGTGGGAAATGGTCCCATGGCTGAGGCGTCGACAAAAAATGGTAAAACTTACATGCAACAATCAACAAATGCATGAAAAAAAGCCATCTGCAGTACCGTTGGAAAAAGTCAGGTGGACCATTTTTGAACTTGACCTTGGTTTCCACAACAGCAAATCAAATGTCAAATATATGGCGATTGATATACAACCACTTAGAGTTATAACATTGACTTACATACAGACCGACACCACAGGCACTCCACCATGACCAGACCGAAAACATACACTTGTAACGAAGGTAATTATAAATGGCTCCGCCCCTGAGGTGTCGGCAAAAAATGGTAAAACTTACAAGCCACAGGCAGGTCGATGATTTCCGGCACGGCCTCCTGCACACACACGGGGCAGCACTGGTCCTCAGGGTACTCCCACTGTGCGCAGGCGCCGTGAAAGAAACAGTCCACGATGGCACAGACCGGCTGTCCGTGGTGACACGTGCAGTGTTTGCAGGGCGTGACGTCAACAGACCCCCCCTCCGGAATCATGACTCCGCCCACTTCGCAGCCGGTACTGGTACAAACCTTAAAAAGTGGCAATGTGGTTAGGGTCGTTGACTCTGAATCTGAAGGTTCTGGGTTCGAATCCCTCGGAAGCCCCTCTGTTGTACCCTTGGGAAAGGCACTTAACACCTATTTCCTCACTCCATCTCGGTGAGTACCTAGCTTCGGTTAGGGACGTCCTCTCGGATGGGACGTGAAGCCAGAGGTCCCGTGTTTGAGGAGAACCACACCTTGAGCACGTGAAAGAACCCACCACACTTATTGAAAAGAGCAGGGGTCCTTCCTGGTGTGAATGGTTCAAACATGAGCAGCTTGTACTTACTGTACAAAACTGGTGTGTTTACCGGTTATGCAAAACAAACAAATAAACAAACAAACAAACAAACAAACCGGACAGCACTGGCCGGGGACCTGTTCCGTCTGGAGACAGTTGGCGGGTAAGGCACAGCCGATCGCCAGACAGTGGGACTGACCGTTGGTGCACCCGCACGTGGTGCAGCCGTTCTCGTCAATCGGCCTCCACTCCCCTTCAGCAATGGTCACTCCCTGGACCTCACATGTCGCGGGACGGACGGGCGAGGTGCGTTTGGCTGGGAAAATGGGATTAACTAAGATTAATGTTTTAAACTAAGCCCTATATTACAAGGCAGGCTCCGCTCCTGTGGCGTTGCCATGAAATCTATTTTTATCATTCACATCTGAATGATTCGCACGTTTGTAACGCTAGAAACAACTTAAGATTTCAAGTTAAAATTTTTGATATTTAAATTTTGCAAAGGGATTAATAATAATATAAGAAAAAGTTGGTATTGCGATATTGCTACGAAATTCAAACAGACGTTTAGAGGTGACAAGTTTCGAACCTGTCATTCGTTTTTGCAACACTTAACCACATACCAAATATCATAAAGATCCATCAACTGGTTCTCAAGGTTGCTGTACCCACCCACACAAACATACAAAAAAACAAACAACAAAAAAAAACATTGGAAAACATACCCTTCTTTGCAAAGGTAATCCTGTATTTACAAACAAACAAACAAACAAACAAACAAACACAAACAACGCCATCAAAAACACACCCTTCTTGGCGAAGGTGATCCTGTACTTACAGACCATGGGTATCTCTACGATATGGTGATTGTGGTATGCTGTACAGACGGGACAGCACTGGCCGGGAACACGGTGCCACTCCGCACAGTTGACGTCCAGCGCACACGCCATGGACCAGCACAGCGGCTGTCCGCCGGTACAGCCACACTCGGTACAGCCGTAATCGTCAGTCACCTCGAACTCCCCCTCTTCAATAGTCACTCCGTCCACTACACACGAGCGGGCTGGGGTGGACATAGACGTAATAGATAGACTTAGAGATCGGTGATAACATCAAACATGATCTTATAACGCTCAATTTATTTGAAAAGGTGGAACATAACGTCTTCCATGGCTTACAAAAGAGAAGTCAAACTCTTCAAACATAGCTCCAGATAATTACATTTCATTATGTAGTTTTTATAGCTACTAGTATTTTGTGAGTATGGTATGGCAAATAATAGACTCTTCATTTTCATTTCGAACACTCACGTTTTCCTCCTTTTCTTTGGAATTGATTTTGGCATATGCATCCTATAATATCAGAATCATTTTCCAATATTTATTTTGGCAATTTACGGTATGTATTTGCTCATTTTCAGCTGATTTGTATGATTTGCAGTATAGTAAAATTTTCCAAAACTTTAAAGTTTTTTTTACAGACAAAAATTGACTACCGGGCAACCTGAGACTAAAAAATGTATTTCGAACCCTGATTTTTACTTACATTCGACACGCATGTCCATCTGCACCGGTAGGTGTACCTGTACCTCCTGTACACACACGGGACAGCACTGGTCCTCAGGGTAGACCCACTGGGAACAGCTGGGGCTCCAGAAACAGTCCACGATAGCACAGATCGGCTGTCCGTTGTAACAGCCACAGTGCTGACACGGGGTGACATCAACGAATTCTCCCTCCTGGATTGTCACACCCGAAACCTGCCAAGCGAAGCAAAGTCAAATAGCCTGGCTGCCGTCCTTCTTTTGGATACGGCTGCTCGAGGATGGCACCCAGGCTAGTTTTTAGTAGGGGTTAAGGAAAAATGTTTCTGCAGCAACTATAAAGACAACACGTACAGGATAAAATGCTGTCTGATATGCAAATTTGTTGCGTCTCTTCATGGGATGTCGTTTCTGTTCCCTTCTGTCTAGTACGGGAGTAACGCCTGCAATGCATGCAAATGTCGCAAGAGGTCGCGCGCGCACGGTCTTCCCTGAACGTTGGCAGTGTTCCAATGCAAATACACAGGTAGGATGTGATAACAAGGCTTCCGGATTACACCCGGGCTGCTTGGGCGGCTTTGGCGACTCCAGTGTCACGGACAAGTCGCTTAGAGGCCATAAGATGATCATTGCAATAGGGACAGTATATAGAGAGCAGACCAAGGTATGAGTTGAATATTTACAGTAGCCCATATCGTACCTGTAACTGATGAATACCTTTTATACCTAAAGATTGAAGGGGGTTTGAAGAGGAATTGAGGGGTTTGAATATCTACATAAAAGTTTGAAAATGCATGTTTCTAAATTGTCTTGGTCTTATTATGATACCTGAGAGGTATATGTACGTGTCGCTTTCTATTGTCTAAAAACATTGTCAACTCCGCGTAACCACTGTAAAATATTTTTATTTTTGAAGGTCATTATAACATGAAATCTTTGTTTCAGCAGATAGATATAGAATTGCTTAATTAGCTAGGTGTATAACGGAATGTAATTATTATGAATTTTTGCTGCTCTCTCTTTCTCTGTATTTCCCTTTCTCTATTTCAGACTCTGTAGAATCTAGTAAGTTTCAATTAACATACATAGGTTTATATTATTGAATACCACCATGAGGCCACAGCAAGTAGTTTTTATGGATGACATGAGCGCGCGCTTTGGTTTTTGCCTGATTCTGGGGAAAAACAAGAAACTTTGTTGCCTTCTGACAGTGGTCTACATGGCCGAAAATGGGCAAAGATGTCTGCTGCCATGCTGGAAGGTGGATGGCAGATAACTATGAAGAGAGGAGACAAGAAAAGGCTCTAATTTAATGTTTTGTTTTTTACTTTGATGCGGTGATATGTGATGCTGGCTGTGTATATGTGATGTTCCTACTGAATCAAAACCATTTGTACAATAATTGAGTCAAACGTTTAAAATGTAGGAACCTTGCTTTTTTGGCCCGCCTTGATTTTTTCGCCCGCATTAGATTGGGAATTTACTTGCTGTGGCCTGATATACAACTCAGGACACGTCCGATTCCCGGTCTAAATTGTTTTTCAGATTTTCAGATTGATTCAGACAGAGACGTATCCTAACGTCACCCTTAATTCAATATTCTCCAAGTAGCGGCATTGACGTAAAACACCCACTTAAGATGTTTCAATTAAGTCATTTTCACCCACTCCTACGTCATAGATGTCAAGGCTAGCTCCTTCTTTGTAACCTCAGCAGGTAATGTAAGAGTGAGGTGATGTTGATTATATGGATGACATCCGCGCGTGCATGAATTTTCGTCCTTTTTCAAAGTAAAGTTTTCTACCATACTGCAAACCGTACAAAACAATAAACTATGAATAAAATAAACAAACAAAAAATAGTCCTCACCTCGCAAGAAGCTCCAGCACCGGGAAGAGCCTGTCTTTTGGCTGTGAAGTAATAAAACAACATAAAAAGTACAAGACAGACAGACAGATGGACAACGTTAACTCTAGCAAAATTGCTAGTTTTAGCCTAGGCTTCCCCAATGACAAAGAAGAATACAATCAAATAACAAAACAGCAAATGGGCGATCCAAAATACATAGGTAACATGTAAAAATGGATCATTGTTTGAAATTGAATGTTTTTGTAAGCAGTTTTAAACCTTCCGTCAATTATAAACCATTTTGTGTTTTCTGTTGACACTATAGGTTTGAGTCATGGTCAAAAATTCCTATTGGTCAAAACTAAACAAGAAACAACAAATCAAATTGGTATGGCCCTACTCAGCAATGATTTGAAACGTACAGGCGACGGGTATTGATGGAATCTCGTTAACAAGCTGCTGGACACAGACTGGGCAGCACTGGTCAGTTGGGTACTCCCACTGGGCACAGGTGGACTGCAGCCAGCCCCACGGACAGTCGATGTGTGTACAGATGGGCTGACCATTGTAGCAGTTACAGGGTTTACAGGGGGTCACGTGAACAAACTCTCCGTTTGGGATGGTCACGCCGTCAACCTGGGAAGGAAGGAAGGAAGGAATCCAACTATGGATGAATGGATGGGTGGATGGATGGATGAATGGATTGAAGAATGGATGGATGGATGGATTGAAGGATGGAAGAATGGGTGGGTGGATGGGTGAATAGATGGATGGATGGGTGTATGGATGGCAGATTGGATGAATGGATATGAATGGATGGAAGGATGGATGGATGGATGGATGGGTGGATGGGTGGATGGGTGGGTGGATGGATGGAATGATGGATGGATGGATGGATGGATGAATGGGTTGATGGATGGATGGATGGCTGGAAGGATGAACGGATGGATTGATGGAAGGATGGATGGATGGATGAAGGGGTGGATGGATGGATGGATGGATGGAAGAATGGATGGGTGAATAGATGGATGGATGGGTGGATGGCAGAATGGATGGATGGATGGAAGGAAGGAAGGAAGGAAGGAAGGATGGATGGATGGATGGATGGACGGATGGATGGATGGATGAAAGGATGGATGGATGGATAGATGGACGGATGGATAGATCAACTGCTGTTTATTTAATTGCGTTCTGTTAGCATTGTTAACCTATTTACGCGTCAGGTTCTTGTGAAAACGTACCTCGCAAGATTCTCCCCCGAACGGGACGGCCTGCCGTTTAGCTGGAACTAGAAATATACAGACACGTGCAGTTAAAGACTGGGCTCAACCACTCGCTACATATGCAGTACCATTTAACGTGTCAGATTGTCTTGTTGTTATGATACTTGAAAGGCATATTTGTCGCTTTACATTGCCTAAAACACTGTATTGTAAATTCCCCTTAGTTTGTATTACTTTTTTAAACGTCATTGTGTAACCCTTTCCCTTGTGTTCAAATATAAAATCCCTTTGATAGGATATTTGAACATTTCTAGTGTTGTCCTATGGCAGTTCTGTACGTTTGTGATACGTGTAGAGGCGTGTGAACATACCGGCTGTGTCACCTTTCTGCCCCCCCCCTAGTATTATGGCAAGAGGAACAAACATACCGGCTGTGCCATCTTTCTGACACACACCCCATAGAAGTACGACAGAAGTCAAGAAACAAACTTACCGGCTGTGTCATCTTTCTGGCACTCCCCCCTCTGGAAGTACGGCAGGAGGAACAAACATGGCGGCTGGGAAATCTGCTGAGTCACAGTTCCGTCCGCTAGCGTGACGTCAACAACCTCTGGGTTACACTCCTCCAGAACACACGTCAGACCACCGGCACAGCTACATATATCAAAAGAAATGATTAAAGAAAAATTCCATATAGCCAGAAGGCGTCGACCAATCAGAAGGCTCCATTTTCCATGGATTATCAGGCCGTAACCTACGCTACGCTCACTTGGTGGTTTATTCGGTGGTTATCGCACCTGACCATGGATTATCTCACCATATACAACCTGGGCGGGGCATTAACCCTTTAGTATTCAATTAAATGGCACATTTGATTACTTGCTGACGTCGCGTTTCCGCCAAGTCTCGTGTGTATAAGGTCACGTGACTGTAACCGCAACTCTCGCGAGTTTAAGTTTGGGAGTGATTGGTCATGTGATGAAGGTGACAGTACTGTCAAATATCGTCAGAGCTCCATTCATACAATATTTTCAATTTATGCTGATTATGATAGATCCATAGTTTGTATGCTGCACAAAAATATGCCCCATGCTGGCAAATATCGTCAGAGATCTATTCATACAATATTTTCAATTATGCTGATATGATAGATCCATAGTTTGTATGCTGCACAAAAATATGCCCCATGCTGGCAAATATCGTCAGAGATCTATTCATACAATATCTTCAATTATACTGAATGATCAATCCGGAGATAGATCTAGAAAGTAACATGAAGACTTAACTCAAAGTCAGCATGGAACTTATTATATAAATGTAGATTTGCAAAAATAGCAGAGGCAAAGGAGTCTGCTTCCCATACTTTACGGAATGAAACTTAGATGCTTCACTCACGCAAAAGGTTCAAGCATTATCGGCGAATAATTTTACCAAGTTGGCGAATAATAATTGAAATCTAAGTGCAAAAGTTGCTCATTCACAACTACTTGTTTAACAAGAGCCGACGTTTCTGATATTTTAAGATTTAGCTACTTCTTTCAAAGTTCCACACACCTGGGGAGTCCGGTACCGCACGGTTCTCCCTCTAACCCGGCGCAGACGTCGCAACAGCCGCACTCGTCCCTGGTGAGCTCGCAGTCCTGGGGCGCCGGCGGGCACTTGTACCCCGGCTCCGCGTAACACGGGCAGTACGGGCGGTACGCACCGACCACACTCACCAGCACGCATACCAACAGTACTGCCACCTCCACACGTGTCATGATGCTAGGATTGCCTAGTATAAAAGTTTTGTCGCCACTACTAGAAATGGCAAGCAGCAGTGACTATGCTAGGACTTACTGACCTCTATCGTACGGTGTGAACAAAGCCAGCTGGCAAAGTTGAAAAAGTTTGTTTTTTACGTTTGTGTAAATTGACCGACGCTTGCGTCCCCCTATGACTATTTATTATAGATAAGTAATATTATAAATAAATGTATTGTATTATGCCAAGAAATAGGGTTATC